ATGAAGGGTTCATGAGGGAGGGGGAGGGGGAAATGAGGAGCTGATACCAAGGGCTCAAGTAGAAGGCAAATGTTTTGAGAATGATGATGGCAACACATGTACTAATGTGCTTGACACAATGGATGGATGTATGAATTGTGATAAGAGTTGTATGAGCCCCCAATCAAATGATTTTAAAAAAAGATAAAATAAATAAATAAGAAGTTAAAGGACTGATGAACCTATAGGGACAGCAAGTAGAATAAGGGATTCGGTGGCGGTGGGGTAGAGGGTGGCAGACGGGTGGGGTGGGGGTAAAAGGTAGACATGTCAAGGAGTCCAGGAAGGAAACGAATACAGTATTTGCAAACTGGTTGTGGTAGCAATTGTACAACACTGCTTGACACAATTGAGCTATGGAATGATATGACATATGCATTAACTCCCAATTAATAATAAAATTTTAAGTGAAAGTTATAGCATTGTTTTCTTGATTACTTCTCTAACTGTTCAAATGTGGTAAGAAGATGAAAGTATTATCAGGAAGGGAAGGGAGGCTTGTGTTCTTCTGGTGGAAACAGGTTTCTTCAGGTTCCCTCTTTTTGTTACCTTTGAAACTCCATGCTGCTTGGAGCTGCTCATAGGTGGAGAAACACACTTCCCCATTCATATGACCACATCAGGAAGTAGAATATAGCTTTGTCTCAATAGGGCTTTCTCTGTCCTCGTATGAAGGCCTGACATGGGCCAAGGTCTCTTCTCAACTGAGCCCAACCAGCTTGCTCAGCTGATGGAGAAGCTTGGATCTTGGAGTGTGAGAGCCCCCCCAGTGCTTTGTCCGGGCAGATGCCTTGAGATCACAGCTGTCTACAAGTCAAGGCTAAAGGAATGGCACTTCAAAGCAGCCGGAACTCTGGTATGCGCTCAGTTTCAGAAATGTTTCTGAGATCGTGCAGATGGTGATTTTGTTCCTAGGTCACGACAAAAGCCCTCTTTGGGGCCCCGATTGTGCTTTTTCTGGTGACAACG